CTTCCTCATGTTTAAACCAAGGGCAGCTAGTTTGAAGCTTGCTGCATCTGTTGCAAACCCGAAGAAATTATTTTATGCCAGAAAGCTTTAGCTCTTTTTCCCTCAACTGTATCACTTGCTATAATAAACATAGTGTAGACAAAATGACAATATTAATGTCTTTGATTCCGCTGAGACATACTCCAGGCACCATCAAATACTATTGTAACTTTACAGCAGCAGAATTCCATAATTCTACATATTTTATGATTTAGTCACAAGTACGGTTTTCAAAATAAGAGCAATACTGTATAGAGGTCATTTTCTGTTCTTGTAAGTGCTCAGTAGTGTTTTGGATTGTGATGCTTGAGTTTTTCTTAGTTTAAGCTGTAATACTACTGTCCAGGAGGGTTGGAACTGATGTGCTAATCTGATATGTAGATTCCTCGAAAGGTAAGTTTGCATAGTCGTATTTTTGAGGCACCATTCTGAGTCTCTGATCACAGTACGTGAAGTGAAATGAATAAGGTAGTGCAAATATATACATTAAAGAGAGGTGGTAACTCATCACATGGACATGGACAGAGCTGTACTTTGCAAATGATGTGTGTTGCAAAAGCCACATCGGTACTTCTACTCAAAAGCTGTTACAGTCTTCAGTAAATTGTCTTTACGACATGAAAAGGTAGAGACTGTCTGGGATCTGTCCCATGTTACATGGTGTGAGTCCTGAAAGTGCAGATTTGTGTTCTCCTTGAAGAGCAGCAATCTAATATTTTTTTTCCCATAACCTTTATCAGAAGTGGCTGAGAGAATGCAGGCAGTGAGAAAATCGATAAATCTATAAATAGGAAATATGCCAGTTACTCTGTAACACATAAAAATATGTATTATAAAACTAGAGGCTGATAATACAAGCATACGTAACTGTTAAGAGCTTAGAAAGTTATGTTTAATTCTTGCAACATGTTCAAACATGCAAACCTTTTTGACCAAACACTGCCTTTCTTTTCATCTGTATGCCTGAAACGTGAGCACAACCAACGTAAGATCCTTCCATGTCGTGCTTTAGAAGCGGCACTCTGCCCTGACAGTGCTGAATATTTTAGAAGTGGTGCGTAGGGACCCTGCCTGCAACACCAAGATAGCCAGGGCTCTAGAGCAGGGGTGCAGAGTTTGGAGCCAGTTGGCAGAGTATGGCTCCTGCGGGCGATAGGCCACCTGCACGGTTACCCAGGTAGTAGAGGTGGACAGCAGGAGCGGATGGTGCTGAATCACACTTCTGGTTTGCATGTCGGGGATCTTGGTCGGTTGGGGTGTACCTTCAGGAGGTTCATCCACGGGAATGCTGTCTTGCCTTAAGGTTTCTTTGGGTTCATTTTGGGGGTTTTTGTAACTGAGTTAAGTCGCAAGTTCATAATTAAAATTTTTAGTCAGAATTTTTAAAACGAGAGTCGATGAAGAGCCGCACAGTCTAGTGTCCGTAAGGCAGTCTCGCCTGCAGACGCCTCCTTGCAGGTGTTCTCAGCCTGACTTCTGCCCACCCAGTGCAACATCACTGACTGCACTCCACTGACTTCTGATTTACACCACACTGAGTATTTCAAAACTTTTGGGGTGTTCAAGACTCATGTCCAGCAAGTAATTTCTGCCTTTTTTAGTACCTGACACCTCAGACTGTGAAGGGTCCAAACTTCGGATCCTCTTCTGCGCAGTATTGAAGTTTCTGTTTTATCACTGGCCTGTTTGCTGGCACTGGAGGTTTTATTCTGCTAGTGGTTAATTTCCATGTGTTCACATAATTAGTTCACTTGTGAACTAATAAAATTTCAAGTGCGATACTACATTGCTGAAGGCAATGAAAGCTCAACATGACATGATTTAAAGACTCTAATATTCAAATCAGAACACAAGACAAAAGTTGTTAATATTGTTTTCTACTCCACTTTCAGACTTTTGATAAAGACCCTGTCTGACTGTCTTTTGTCCGATGATTTAATTTGAAGTGATATATGAAAGGGATGTGCAGGATTGGACCCGAAGAGATTAAAATGAAAATATTTTAGGAATATTTCAGTTTTAATAGGCACGTTAAATCTTTGGAGTGTTTTTTGAACTGATTTGTTTCCAAGGGAACAACAATCTGCAGTGCTATAAACCTTTTTAATGTTAGCACATTACAGGTAAGGAGCCCCCATTCCCCGGCAGTGTTTATCATTCCTTTTTCTTTTTTTTTCTTTTTTTTTCAGAAAATGCTCTCATCCTTTTTTCTTTCTCTCCTCATTCTTCACAGTTTCATGTAATTTAATTTCCTAGCAGTATTACAGTTGTTCTGACAGAAGTAGTACATATGACACATTTCTAAGCGTTATTGACATAGCAAGAGAAAATGAAAAAATGTTTGAGGGATTTATTTTGGAACAGAGAATAAGTCACAGGCTGTGCCACGTCAAGATACCGTATCCTCAGGTGCCATCCTGGCTGGGATGGCTCTGTCTGCATGCTCTCTCAATTCTGTTTAGTGTTTCAGTAACAAACCTAAGTCAAATCGGGGGGAAAAGAACAAGAGGAGAGAGGAAATTCATAGGAGTTTTGATTCGTCTGGCAAAGCAAATCCACATGGGGAAAAAGTCCCACCAAGAATTTAAAGCCTAGCTCTCCAGAGCTTTGTTGGGTGATGTAAAAGCATCCAGGTATTCTGCTCTGCTAACCTGTAAAATACAGCCTCACCTCTGCAAGCTCTCACATAAATTCCTGTTAGCTGTACAGGAGATCGTTTTGCAGTAAATGAGCAACCCACGTATTGCATTTGTGGAATGTTTTGTTTCTGGGGCTGTGGAGAAGTAAGCTCGGGAGGTTGTATGTGTTACGTTTGTACGTACTACAGTATCATCAAGCCATCGCATAAATGGATACGGTTTCGGGGGTTCTGTGTAAACAACTATTGCAGAGTTTCTTAGGAAACACGGGCATGTTTTTATGAAGTGTTGAACATCCATTCTTGAAAAATCAGATCTTGCCTAAGACGTGCTTTTCGTCACAGACAAAATCACTGTTTATAAAATCTAGATCGTGGGCCTGAGCTAAAATGAAAATTAACTTTTCTTGTGTGTTTTTTCACATTGTATTTCATGATGCTGTTTGTTGAGTTCAATCTTTGGAAAAAACAGCGTGGAGAGCGAGGGTTCATTTGTGTTCTACTTCTGGGATTTCAGTAACTGTTAGTGCTCTTAAGGAAGTAAGATGTTCGTTTAAATTATCAGAGTTTTAGTAGCATAAGTTCATTTTAGAGGCAACTTCAGTGACTTCAGTAGAATTGATATTGATAGAGTTAATTTTGACTTACCAAACATATTATTATTTTCAGAGCAAGTTAATAAGAAATGTGTCTTAAAGATGCTTCTTATAGTTAGAGGGTAAAAAAATAAAATATCCAAGCATGAATTTTAACTTTTCTGGTCCTCAGAAGCACTTACCCTGAATACTGTTAGCGTGCACATTAGACACTAATTGGCCGTGCTTCTTATTTAAGATAGCTTAGTTACGGTTGTATGTTGGAAGGGAGAACATTTCTCCGTTGGCTCTTAAACAGTATCAGAGAAGGAGAAATATGTACATGTCGTGCCCAGTTCTTACCTATTTCACTGAACTTTTGAGGACCATTTAGGTGTACGTGCATCAAGGTTGTTAGATGTATACTGAAGATCCTAGATGAAAAAGGGCCAACCTACATGGTAATTTTGGCAATCCTGTAGATTAGTTAAAATGAGTGAAATAAGAAAACTAAGACCTCGTTATCAAATCAGTAATAATTCTGCTTCCTAATAATAAGAACAGACATTAAAGAGGGATACCATCTTGTTACTGACTTCACAAGTTTTACCATATTTTAGCTGTGCTGTAAAGAAAAAACATATTTTGCCTAGTGAAAAACAAATAGCAGCTAGTAGAAGTTAAAATAGATGAAAAAGAATGACTGATTAAACAAGTTATATTACCTGTATTGAGGTTTGGGGTGCACTAAGCAATTATCAGATCATATAGTTTTTTGTTGTAGCGGTGTTGATGTGTCCATATCTCATAGGTGAGCCAAAATGAATAAAACCCCCTCCTTGCTCAGTCTGTTGTCCAAAAAGATACACTTCGGAAAGTACTTCATTACCGAAACATAAAAGATAACAAAGCAGAAGAGCAAAGCAATTAGCTTATTGATAATATTTAAGCAGTGTTCTTTTTGCTGATTATATTATTTTGAAGTTTCCCACCTGTTGAACTCAATAGAAATTACCTCCCCAAATCACTGAAGTTTAGAAAAGCTGCTTTCCCGTAAATGCATTACCAGCAGTGGGGAGGATTGTGTATGTGTGGAAGGCTGGGGAGATTCATGCATGTAATTCTGTAAAACAAAATCAATAAAGCTGATGACAGATTAAGTTGCTAAATTTTGTAAAACTAGACTAGCGTTTGGGTCATCAGCACAGCGCTATTGGATTTTCTATGGTTTAATGCTGAAAAACAGGATTATTGATTTTAGGATTTTCAGCGTATCCCCTCTGGGAGTTCTTAAGCAGTCTTTATAATGCTTCACACTTAAGTTGACAGCTACAGTGACATAACTGTGTCCTTGCCTTAGTAATCATTTTCTAATCATATTGGAAAAGGCTGGAAATGGTTTATAAAATGATTATTCCAGACAAACGGGAACAGGCGGGTTGCCGGGACGTCGCTTCTTTGTCTGGTGGTCATTGCTACCTGCCTGCCATCTTCCCTTGGAATTAACTTACAGTCACAGATTAAGACCTTTGACTGTCATAAATCTGCTTCCCAATATGTTTGACTGGCAGGGGAGTTCACAAGCCGTCCCAATATAAATAGGATTTTAGCACATCAGGTGCTGCTCCAAAGTAAAACGGGCTGTTTTGCAGTCGACTTTGTTGGTGTATATTCATTGCTCCTCTCCCGTCCCATGCGTATGCATGCCTGCGTGTGTGTATGCATGTGTGTGTGTACGTAAAGTAGAAGCCGAGATAGGGTAACAAAATGAACTACTGTATGCAAGAAATATATGAAGTGCACCCAGCTGCTGGTAGCAATTGCTACATGCAGTCCACTGATTATTGCACATATATCGAAGATAATCAGGGTTACAGCAGTTGTGATGCTCAGGTCCTGCACGGTAACAACATATATATGGAACAGGCCTGGGCGGTGAATCAGCCTTATACCTGTAGTTACCCTGGAAACGTGTTTAAAAGCGAGTACTCTGACATGGACATGGCCCTGAATCAGTACAACCAACCTGAATATTTCACCGAAGAAAAACCTACTTTTTCTCAAGTGCAGTCGCCATCGTACTCTCAGAAGAAAGGTAGGGGCAATTTATTTAAATAACAACAACAAAAAAATAATCTCTGGGTTTGTTTTTGTTTTGCTTTAAACTTACAGTTGCATCAGTTGGCTCAGATACATCTTTGAATGTGAAGGCTGCCTGTTCAAAATTGAAAGCAGCAGTAACATAGGTTGCTAGGTGATTGTAAGGTTTTCTGTGAGCGATGAGGATTTCCAAGCACTTTTTCTTAATCTATAAAAGACGTTTGCGAATATATTGCTTGTTTTCTGCTTTCTGGGGCTAGTAAGTTCGTTTGCTATTCACCAGTGAGCTACATAAGAAAGTTTCTCTTCTGAAATGTTGTCATTATATATTGTGCATCTTAAAGCTGTGTTTCTGGTTGCATACAAACCATTTGTGTGAGTCCTCCTTTTCAGTAAATGTGAACTCTGTTTACTCAGCAACTCGGGCAAAATATTTTGAAAATAGAACTGTAAATATGTATGGGAAGATGATTATGTTTAATAGAGTTACTGTCCTTTAAGTGAAAACCGTGTAGTTTCTGCATAGCACAAAAGACTGAGAATTCAAGAATGTGTCTGTGCAAGAAAGACTATTCTGCATCCTAAAAGTTGATCTAATCAAGATCTTTGCGAGAAAGAATCAGAGTACAGTATCTGCTCCCTCAGGGTTAAATCATTGCCTCTTTTTAGAATTTATTCTTTTGCCTTTCAAGTAAGCAAAGCAGATTCAAAAAGAGCCCAAAATACCAACAAACACTTGGAAATGTTTCTGGTGTTATTTGTTCTGAACTCAGACAAGCAAACTGACGCATACAGAGTGTATGTTCTCTGTGTTTCTTTAAAATCACATTATTCAAGAGTAAAAATACACAGTCTGTTGTACCAACATAATGTCCATTTTCGGTGTGCAGTTATCCAAAACCCAGATGAATCTGATGTGAGTAGATAGCAAAAACACCGTTTACTATGCTGAAGGTGGCTTTGTAGTAAAGAGTAGACTGTTTAATCTTATTAACTACATGGAAAACTGAAATATTTTCCTTTGTGCAGGCAATATTCATTAGCATTTGGTACAATAAATCTGCATGTTTGGTAGAAAAATGTTTTCATTTTATACTTGGAACAGCATTGTATTTCATAACAAAGGAAAGATTTTTTAAAATCCTGTTCTAGGAAGCTGTAAGAACATGATCAAATTGTAGAGGAAATGTAGTTGTGGATAATGCATGGTTTTCTCTTGTGCAACATTTTAGATGCTTTTTAAGGCTATTTATCTGCTATTGGGTTTTAACTAATTTATAACTCTTTGTAGACTTTTCCCATGTCTTATTTTTGTTAAAGAAAAATTGTACTCAGGATTAACTTAGATAAAATAAACACTTGATATTGCAAAGTCAGTGAAAGAATACATTTTTCATAACGTTAAAGGTTATAAATAATAATTGATATACCTGGATCAGAGCTTTATGTAAGTTATTTCAATACTCAGACACCTGACATCTGCTCTGTTTAAAGATTTTGTACTTGTCTGGCTGAAAAAATGCAGAGTTGTTTTTAAAAACTGCTTGTCTGCCCTTGTTTTCTGCTACCTCAGTTTCACTGAGAAATGGCGGTGAATTTTGGTGGAAGCCAGCTCTCACGCAGGCTTTTAATTGATCATTCACGGGGGCTGAGCAACGTGCTTTGGGATTCTTTAGAGCCTTATTACTGTGATAATCAATAAAAAGTTGCCTCCCTTCTGTCAAACCTTTGCAAATGCTGAGTTTGTTAAGCGGAAAAGATCTAAACTGTGTGGGACATGTGCATCTTTCTTTTTTTCTTTTTTTTTTTTTTTTTAATTTCCATCTTTTAACCAAGCTATCGTAAAACTAACGAATCTTTTAATCCTGTCCTAAGAACAGAAGGCTCCACACAGGGCATGTGTGTCTGTATTGATCCAGAATTGATTTTAGGAGGGACGAGGGAGTTTGTTAGAGAAGCCTTGGTAATAGCCCATTAAAGCAAAATTAAGTCCCTAAGCAGGTGTTCATGAGGAGTCGTGATTGTTGCAGTTGGTATTTCTGTTAGTCCTCTGAAATTTGCAGTAATCTCAATAATATGCTGTTCAAATCAGATTGTACTTTACAGTAGCACATGGAGTCTTTTCCTATCAAAACTTGTGCTAGTTATTAAATGGTTAAAGTCTCCTTCTCCCTGTGGGAAGAAAAAAAAATCATCATTTTATATGCTGAAAAAATATCATTTATGAAGGGGAGTTTAATTCCTTCTCTATCTTGATACCACTTTAAAAGAATTCAGAAAATAACTTTAAAAAACAAGAACCAAAGACCCCAACAATGTGTCCCTAAAGGAAAAAAAAAAAAGTATTTAGAAAGTATAGCCAGTTATTCTAAAATATAAGAAAGCACTTAAGCTGCTCCAATCATTACAGTACATTAAAAGCTATTATTTCCTGATTATCTGTCACAAATTCTGATGAAAGACTTGAATTTTAAAGGCAAAAATTGTGCTCCAGATAATCAAGAGGTGGAGGTGTGGTTTTAGCTTTGCAGCTGCTTGTTGCTCCGTTATCTTTTGTGCCGTAGTGTACACTGTTCAGAGGCAGCAGCACGATATTCATGCAAGAGCTTACTGTTTCATTAAGGAAGCCCTTTTAGATCTGATCCCACCATAGGAGACAGGCAACCAGATACGCTTTGTTATCTACCTGAGGCTGTGAAATCTGATGTCCAGAACAGGGCTCATCATCATGAGAATGAGGTGCTATTCCCAATTCTGTCCCAGAGAGCTTAAACTGGAATATTTTTCCTCTCTTATGGTGTCGCCGGCCATGGTGAGCTTGGGACACTGCACGCCGGGTGGGTGATGCTCCGGGGGAGCCCGTGCCACCCTACCCGGCAAGGCAGGAGCGTCCCTGGATCTCCTCACACTGCCCGTACAGTGAGGAGGAGTACCCAGTGACAGGGTAGAGGTAGTACAGTCATGAAAGTACAAAAGAAAGAGGTACAGAGGTCCAGAAAGCTCAGCATCCCCACGTTTGGTGTGCGCGCTGTGTGTTGGCCGTTTGGACAACGTGGGAAATAGGTCTGCAAAGTGAAAACCGGGCTGAGGGTTCGCTTTTGCTTCCCTTCGTACATTTATTTCATGGGCACCGATAACGAAGATGCCCGCTGGCGTCTATGAAGTTAGGCTTTAACTTCAGGCTCTGTGGGGGCGGACCAGAAGTAACCAGAGGCTGCCCCAAAACCCACGGGTTTGCAGGCGGGAATTCCTGAGTCAGGCTGTAGCAGTGCCGGCTCCTCAGCCCAGCGTCTCACCTTGCTTCCCAGCTACAAGGTGAGGTTAATGCCGTCTGTTTAAGGGCTCTGGGTATGGTGGGAGAATGGGGCTTTGAAAGTTATTATTGTTATAATTGTAGTTGTCATTATTATTTCCCTTTATATTTTCTCAGGCAATTTACGTGCAGCTGAGAATATATACTGTATGACTGCTAAAGTATGCGACTGAATTAGTCCAAGCCGAGTTCTCAGCGGTGTGAAAACATTAGGGGACTTTCTGAATAGCTAAGAAAATACAACATGGAGGTTATGTCAAAATGTCTTCTTATCAGTGCAGAGAGTATGTGTGCGAATAGTCAATTTACAGAAACACTGAGCATTTGTCATTTTTGGCGTTTGCAGCAGGGTATGTTAACAATTACTTTGAATGTAAAAACAATTAATTTTGCTCTTGACCACTCAGCTAAGGACATAGCACTGATCAGAAAAATTCCATCTTATTCAGCAAATCATTATGCATTTGGAATTATGTCTGTTTCTTTTTTAATAAAAATGTCAGTGAAAAAAGTGTTTTCTGCGCTTTAACTGTAACCTTTCCACAACCAAATGAAGGATGGGAAAGTGAACAAAGTCAGGCTCTGTTTTTGCATCAGTAGTAAAACTGATGTTCAGTGAGACTTAGATTTCTAAGTTACTTGCAATACGACGCTATGGTCTCTAAAAACATTTAAGTAGTTTTGGGGTAAAAATATTGCGTGTTCTGACTTGTACAGTAGTGGATTTTGTACCTGTAGTTGGTAATGGATGCGAGTAGAGTACTGATCACAGCAGTTGAAGTGATAACGCGGTTTGGGCTAAAATGTTTTCAGCGCATCTGTACAAAATGCACTACTGTTGATAAGGTTTCTGACTCAGCCCAAAGAATAGGGTTAATACATAGAAAAGTCACAGAGGAAAAAGAGACTATAAAAAATGTTCCAAATTCTGTCTTTGCAGAATCTCTTGCCAAATTTTAGTAATGCCAGAAATCAAAGAATGTCAACAAAGGTCAAAATTGTGGACAAGCAAGCCAGTTAACTAGCAAGAAATGTGTGAATCGGTTTAGCAACATTCTCGGTGCTTCCAAGCTCGATGGAAAAATAAGCAATTTTTCTCAGTGGGAGTAATTTAAAGAAAGTGGGAAACAAGGATCAGTGTTATCAGCCCAGCTGTTCAGATCAGTATTGATAATAGCACAAACAAGAATGGAGTATGCTTTTTCTCACTCAGCTTTATGCTTTCTCCGATAAACAATCTGTTTCAGCTTTTTTCTACACAAGTGTATCAAGGATGATATCTGGATGATTCTTGTAATTTTTTTTATAACTTGCGAAGAGTTACAATGTGACTGTGAAATCGGCAGAACAGCAGTATAAATTTTCTTTTCAGTTCTAATACGGTTGGGGATTCTCAAGGTAGTAATTAATTTCTTCTTTTTCATTTCCATACTGCAGTGTCTAGTAAGTGAATACGAGCTTACTGATAAGTCCTGAACTCCTCATTTTAGTGAGTGGTCTCTAGTCACGTAAGCTGTACCAGATGGGGGAAAGAAAGATTTTAGGGAATATATTTAATAGATGACTGCCTGCCAGTGTACAGTGAAAATCAAAATGCTCAATAATGGTCTTAAAATGCAAGTGTCCTTGTGCAATAGCAAAAATAGCTTTTTCTGCTTGCAAGGCATAAGCCTATGGTGGAT